ATTTTAGGTCAGTGGTTTTAAAACTCATTTAACAATGAAAGCTTTCTCAAAGAAAATTTTATGCAGAATAGAAGAGAGCTGGAGCATCTGCAATTTACAAAGGGAATGAAAGCCCCGATCTCATTTGCTCATTCAGCTTCCTTCACAGTCCCTGCTGCCTGTGACCCCAGCTTCCCAGGGAGGTTCCCATGGATGCAAGGAACACACTTTTTAAAAACTATCATTCTTTTGGATAATAATTGATGTAACGTAAAATTATGGGGAGTAAGTCCCCACTGCCAAGAGGAACACGCTAATTTTAAAAAATGATCACTTTTCATTCTGAAACCTTAAGGAGCACTTGATGCTTTCAAAATAATGGCAAATTTCAAGATTTCTAGGAGCATGTACTTCTTGCAGGATGAAAATTGATGAATCTTTTAGAGGTGATGGGATTACGTCTCCATCCTCCCAACTCCCCCGCTCCCACATACACATCCACTTCTCCTTTCTAAGAAAGTCAAAAAAACCAAAAGCACTTTAGCAATCAAGGAGATTCTTTCTCTGCATGGCATCCCATGAGTTAGGGAATTAAACATTGGGAGCCCAGGTGGATTAGGGCCCCCCCAAAATATGCTTGACCACCAGAGTGCTGTTTCTTTTTTAAACAAATACTTTTAAGAGTCCAGACTCTCCAGTGTGCCACAGTCCCCACAAATCCCTATTATCCTAACAACTGCAGTATCTGCCTGTCCCCTGAAGGCATTTGAGCGTGTGACCCAGACAACAGGGTTTATAACATGGCTAGGCAACTTCCGTCACTCTGGATTCATAAGGAATTCCACTGCAAATATCACCAGATTGGGGGCTTTTTGCAGTATCTGACTATCTCTAAACCTGGTCATTTTGGTTAGGAAATTGTTTTTTACCTGCCAGAAGACCTTTTGGCATTCATTTGGTAATTTAGTCAACATCTATTTATTGAGAAAATATATTGTACTAGAGGCTGGGGAAACTGCACTGAATAGGACAGACCCTGCCTCCAAGAGGCTCCCTTCAAATAGAGGATCAAGTAAACAAGTGTTAGCAATACAATGTAACAACATAGTTTTAGAAACACCTAGCAGAACTATACAGGGGAGGGGCTGACAGGAAAGGCTTCTTAGAGGCAATATGGTTTAGCAAAGATCTCAACAATGTAGGTTCACTAGGATTGAGAGGGGAGAGACTAGGGAGGGCAGGATGCAGGTGGGTGTTCCAGGTAGCACATGCAAAGGCCCAGGAGAAAGAGGAGGTAGCATGTGCTTTGAGGGACTGTGGAATGCTACTGTTAGTGTCACACCTGGTGCTCCAAAACTTATGTGGACAGAAACTCCTAAAACAAGGGGTGCATTTCAAAAGACACCAATCTACCCATGACCACATGAAAGAGAGTCTTTTCATACAGTAAAGGGTGGACACAGGCAGGCAATGCTGAACATTCTGCCAAATATTAAACTTCTAATTCATTAATAATTTCTAATATAAATATTAGATTTCTTATCATGCAGAGTCACACCCCTTGATTGAAAAACTCTCAATTTAACAAACATCTCTTTATTCACATATTTTTTATAAAGAAAAGGCATAATTATATTCTTAGGTGAAAAACAGTGAGGTCTCAAAAGAGTATAATACAACCCTTGGATACATATATTTACAGGCATATAGACATAAAAATTCTGAAAGAGAAAATTGTAATATATTAATAGCAGATGAGGAATCGTGTTTTTTTTTGGGGGGGGGTGTATCTCTTTTTCTAATCTTTTTTACAAAAAAGAATAATTTCCTGTGTATTCTTAAAACCTCAGTTATATCTTCTCAATCCTCTCCTTGCTGAAAGCTCACCACCAGGGAATTCCACAGGGTCCAGGGCCGACCCACCAGGCTCCCTTGCTCTCTCCTTATGGTTCTTAACCACTGGCCCCTGAGACTCAGTCTCCTTTCCAATCCCCTCACCACCCACCTTATCCCTCCTGTTTCTTCTCCCACTAACTGCAGATCTGACTGCAAGTGAGATGAAGGACCAGAACCCCAAACCTTTGTGGTCCTAAAGAGTTTACTGCCAATCAGTGAGGGAGAAAGAACGAGGCAGATTTCAAGCATGACAAAGTAGAGGGAAGGAGTAAGTTCTCCATAAACGTATAAATTGTGTACAGTTGAGGCCCCTGGTTTATAGTTCTGGGCACACCCCTGAAATTAGGAGGCAGCCCTGGGTAGGCACGTACGGCAGGCCCTGAACCCCGGATGGCTGTGGAGCTATTCCAAGGAGTCCAGGAATCAGAGGAGTTAAAAGGACCATTGTTAGAATAAATTAATCTTGCCAAATATAAACCACAAATTTTCAAGCATATGGAGACGGTGTTAATAATCAAATTCATAATGTCTAACACTTCCTTTCTCATTATTTCTCAATCAAAAGACACGAAAACTACTACTCTCAAGTAAGTTTCTACATAATTCTTTGAAGGTAAAGTCTCTCCCTGCTCAAAGAGGCAGAGAACTCTAGTGTAGAGGAATGAGCACCAGTTTCAATGGACGGAACAGAGTTTACACAGCAGCTTCATCATTTAACTGAGTAAATCTGAGCATGTTTCTTAAACTCTCTGAGCCTCAGTACATCCAAAAGTAAGGATAATAGTAATTCCATGAACCTTCCCATTAGGGAAAACTTAGTGAATGTGGTCTTCCAGTTGACCATCTGCTCCCACTCAGTCCCCACCTAAAGCCCACCAAGGCCCAACAGCAAATGTTAGGAGGCACTGCACCCCTCTGCCGACCTCTTAATGGTTTGGATGAAACGACAGTTAAATATAATTCAAGATAATCATGTACCATCTCTCCATAAGATGCCCAGTTGTTTTAATGGTAAAGTCAGTCTAGTTTACCTGAAATGAACCTATTAACTGGATAATTTAAGTTGATAAACACATTAAATCAAAACAGAGCAAGATTATTTTCATTTCGAATGCCCAACTGACATGTCTCAATGAGAAATACATAAGAAATATCAGATTCTAACATAGTTAATGAAAACATATTTTTATTTTCAGGAAAAAACATCCTCTGTACCATTATCTACAAACCCATAAAGGGGTTATCATTAAAGGGATTATGATTACTATACTAAAATGATCCTTCATATATTGTCTGGTACAATAAGCTTTTTAGAAGACAAAGCAAACATGTCAACAGTTGTACTAGCTGCTCCACATTAGACGTACAAGTCCCAAGTATTTAAATCAGAGACAAAAGAAAATACTATCCCTAAGTAGAGTAACATAGAAAACGAAACATGTCTTACTTTAAGAGCAACCATGGTACTTGTTCCTACAGTGAAAACTGATGTTATCTTGGTTAGTTAATTATTCATCCCAAGCCGCTGGCCTTGCTCCTGGAGGCATTCAAATCTTCTCCACCTCTCGCTATGTTAATACTAGTTCACTAATTTGATGATAAAGAATCTTAGCGAAGTAGCTAACAGATCTTAGAGATTAAGTATATGGTTCACTCCCTCATTGCACAGAAAGGTAAACTGAGGCCAGAAGAATTCAAGTACCTTATTGAAAATAATAAAGCTACTTAGTTGAAAAGCCTACCCAGGGCTTTCCCAGTCCACACCTCTCACTGGAAGAACAGCAACCACTGTGAAACAGACAACTCATGTAGATTTCTACCTGACTGTATGGGGAATATTTTCAACGGGCCTCACAGCATATTTTAACTGTTAAAATAATCCAAGAGGATGTTAGTCACACACCAACGCCCTCTGCATAGTAAGTACAGGAGCAGTATGAATTTAGTTGAATCTCCTCTAATTTAATTATTCATTTTATTCATAATTACAAAGATGATGGTACTACAGTAAGTGAAGAAAGTGTAATTTTATTCTCCCCCACTAAGTACATATTATATGTTATATTTTGAACCAGTAAATCAAATCAATATACTAATCCCAAGGCTTAGGCATTCCGTACTTATGGGAAACCTCACAACTGTTTCAATTAAACCTTTTTTGAGAGGTAGATGACAACACGGATCGTAAGCATTTTAAAGGTTCACATTAATTCCAAGCTTTTTAAAAATGTATTAGAGACAAAAGCTTCTTTTGCAATTTATATGTTCATAAACGTTTCCATTAGCTAAGAGATATTTTGGAACGTGATCAAATGATATTGACTGTCAAGTCCTAACAGCAAGGCTAAATCTCTGACAGTTCTCATATGTGGCCACTGCTCTTTTAAACCACTGTGTCTCCAAAGGGCTAAAGGGAGAAAATTCTAACTTAACAAGTGAAGACAACAACGCATATTTTAAAGGCTACTTTTCATATTAATTCTACCTCCCAAATACAAAATTGGATTTGGGCTACTTTCACGCCGTTAACAATTTAATATTAATATATCCATCTCTCATTCTTCCTCCTCAAGAAAGAAGTTATACATTCCCACTACATAAAACTTCCAAATTCTTTCCTACAACTAAATGTGAAAACCAAAATCTCGCTCCTTAAAAAAAAAAAAGAAAGCCTGGAGAACTGGCAGACTGCTTGTTTATGTCAACCTTCAGAAAACATGCAGCCCCAATTCACCAGGAAAATCATCACATGTGATCAAACTGTTTTGTGACATCTTACGTGTTTTATGCATTTCACTTCATACCCAGTATTCCGGTTTCCCACTCGCTTTACTCTGTCAATCCCCAAATGCCTCCAGAGCAAGCTGCTACTGTAGAACAGCTTTAACAGGAGGAGTATAAGAGTTCTGCTCATTGCCTGTGGTGTGATCTTAGAAACACTTGAATCAAACATATTTATTTCTCCTTTGCTATTTAAAACCGAGGGACTTCAGGTTTGGGATGCGGCTAAAGGAAAGCAACAAGAAAAAAAAAAAAAAAAAAAAACCCGAACACGGAACACGCTAAGAACAAAGGAAACACAAGCCTGTGAACAGGAAATGAAGCAACTCTAGACACATAAATACCTTTTGGGGCCGCCAAGGTAGGTGAAAGTAAAGGTGGAGTCTGAGTATCTGAAATCTGAAACGGAAAGTCCTGTTAAAAGCTACCCCTTGAGTGGATTTTTAACCCTGGTCAAGACTTGGGCCCCCTACTTGGTGGAGCCAAGGGGATGCCCGGCGGGGCGGGAGGCGAGGACTGGAGAGCCGAGAGGTCCCCCCTCGGCGCCCCACAGGAGGGGATGCTGCGCACCCCGGGCCAGGTGCCGCTGGAGGCCGCCCCCCGCAACAAGTGCCGGGTGCCATGGCAACGGTGGGAATTTCCCTGTCGGGGCGGCCGGAAGCGGCCCCCGCCGAGCTCGCGGCCACGAAAGCAAAATCCGATCCCTCGCCCGGGGGAGCAAAATGGACGAAAGGCGACCCCCATGCAGGAGCGCTGGGCGCCTCGGGAACCCCGGGAATCCCTTCTCTTTCCGGGGCAACGCACTGCCGGTCGGAGGGAACTGGAGGGAGCTGAAGGGGCCGGAGATCGGCCGAGCGCTGCCCCCGGGGGCCTCGGCGCCGGGCGCAGCCGGCGAGCGCAGCGCAGCGCAGCGGGCTCCATTCCCGGCCGCCGCCGCCGCTCAGCCCATTGCGCAAACCCGGCGGGTCCAACCCGCCCCTCTCGGCCGCTGCTGCTGAAACCCAGGAGGCGGGCTTGGACGCGCCGGGCATTCCCAAGGGGCTAAAGACACAGCGCAGGGCCCCTCCGCCAAGACCCCCGCTCGGGCCACCCGGGTTCTGCCCCAAAGCTGGTGGCTGCTCCAGACTTGGGGGAGGGGAGAAGGGGAGAGGCTGGCGCCCCCTCCCCCTTTTGGCTCCGGCTCTCGCTGCAGCCGCGGTTGCCAAATGAACCCCGGAATGGGGACGTGCAAGCCACCCCCCCACCCCCAGCCACACACGTCGCGGTCTGAAAACTGGGAAGGGGTACGGCGGGCGGGCCGAGGAAGCGGGCGCCGGGTCCGCGGCTCCGGAAAGGCGAGAACTCACCTGCAAACAGGCAGTCCTTCTCTGCTCTGGACTTCTGGATCACGACGTCGATATCCTTCTGAATTCGCTCTTGCCTTGAACACATCCCCATTAAATAAATCCCTGGAAAAGAAGCAGCCGCGATTTCCACCCCACCCCACCCCCCTCGCACGCTTCCAGCTTTCGTAAATATTCAGTTAAAAATGAAACCTCTGGCCGAGGCAGGGGCTGAAGACGAAGTGATTTCGGAAGTGATCCTGGGTGAGAGAGGAGGCGGCGGTGGAGGAGGAGGAGGGGGAGGTCGGCTGTGCATTCCCAGATGTGACCGCCCAGCTGCTGCTCGCCGCTGCTGGATTCCAGTTTCCTCCCCTCCTGACAATGGATGGTGATGACACCGAGTCTCACTTTCTCCCTCCCCCGCCCGGACCAACGGCCGTGCGGAGCCGAGGGTGCTGGAGACGGCTGGAGAGCGATCACCGGCGGGGCGGCGGGCGCCGGCGAGGGGCGAGCCCCGCTCCGCCCCCCGCGCGCACACCCCTCGCGGCCCGCACGTCGGCCTTCCACACCCGCGCACACTCGCGCCCGCGGGCGGCGGCGGCTGTGCCGAGGCTGCAGCAGCGCCGCGCGCCGCAGACCCTCCCGCGCCCGCCGCGCCCGCCGCCCGGTCACCCGGCCCCGGCCGCCGGGAATCTCCTAGTATCCGCCATCCCCGCGCAGGCTGGATGTCCCCGCCCGACCGCCACTCGCGCCGGGGCTGAGTGGGAATGTAGGTGGTGAAGACTCCCTGGGGCTCCCAGGCTGCCCCACCACCACCACCACCACTTTTATGAATCCGACTCCACTTCAGAAGGAATTATGAGTCATATGGAAGACCCAAACCGGAGTGGCTGGGAGGGGGAGAGGGGAAAAGAAAAATCTTTAGAAATTGAAAATAAATAAATAAAACGAACAAATCTTTCCTTGTTGCCACATGAGGCAAGATGGAAAAAGCCTTGAAATTCTCCAGACGTGCATCCTCCCGTGCCCTCACTGCCAGAGTCTTTTCTCCCAGATGGAAGTAGTTCAGCCCCTTCGGGGCGCCCTTTAGGAAATGCAGTCCCTTTTGAGGGACTTCCACTTCCAAAGACTCACCAGTTCTTCCCTCCGAGATATTTCCGTCCATAAAAAATTGGCAGAATCAGCTGGCACGTGCCGAGGTCTCCCTAAAAGATGGATATTTGTTTGGCTTGTTTTAAAAAGCCACCCCTTTGCCGGACAGTCAAGGAAAAGCTCCTACAATTCTGTTGTCTTGTTGGGAAAGGAGATATTGCTCTGAGCCACACTTTCTGTTCTGCTTAAGGACACCTTTGGCTGATGTTGGTGCCCAGACTCTATGTTGCCCTATGCCTAGGTCAGACCTTCAATGGCACTTTTCTTGTTGATCTTTTCTCCAATGAGAAGGCTCCCCTGAGCAGGCCATGTCTCATCTGCTTCTGCATTCCCAGTGCCTGGTGCAGTGCCTGGAATATAGGAGGCCTAAATGTGGGCTGAATGCATAAATGGTCGTGCCTTGCAGCCTCTTTTCTTTATAGGTACCCCAGTTTCAGACAGCTGCTTTATCAGCATAAGTACCCAAGAATTGTCAGACTGGCTCAGACCCTTAATCAATCCAGTTCTGGTTCTGAAAGTAGTAACATGTGTAGGAGAATTAGGAAGGATCACCATCTCTGATGGATTAAAGTTCTAGAGAGACAAAAGCAATGAGAGATCAAATGCTCCAACTCCTTCATCTTGCAGAAAAGAAAATATGAAATGATTTGTTGTACAGCCTGGAACACACCACATTCGTTGTGAATCATAAGAGGACACGTCCCCCTGCATCACCTGGACCACTGCAGTTTTTGATGTAGTAAAGCCATAGTCACGATACAGGGCATGTCCTGCTCACACCTCTCCTGAAACGCTTCCTGACTAGGGCAGGGCAGGTTCAAGGCCCTCCTGGGTACCCTGCTTTGTGTAGGACCCTTATCACTTTCTTCTCTTCCACATAGCCCTGAGTATCACACATACTTCCTTCTTCCATTCTGTGCCCTGACTTCTCCAAAAAGCTCAAAATCTTTCAAGTCACAAAAATTCGTTTTAGAGTTGTGTATCCACAGAGTTTGCATTCTCAAAGAAAAACCCTTGCTACAAAGAAATTTGAAATCGTTTTAAAGCTACCAAGTGTTTTTGTCTGGATCACCTCTTGGTCTACTACTTATTCCATAAAATAAGCCTTCTTGTGATTTGTCCTATATTTGTTATTTTTGGTCATGCTTCGCAGGCTGCCCTGTCTTTATTAAACAAAGCTAACCTCACTCTATTCATGCGCTTAAGGTGTGATATATTTAAATATTTTTAAATTTTAAGGGAGAAGACAAAAAATAAAAACTACCCTTTCTATCTTCAATGCATTTCTGCAAGATAAGTTTCTCTAATAAAAAGTATACCAAGGCATCAGTGTTCCATGCTAGATCTTTATGTCCCGATTCTTTCTAACTGTGCTCATAGCCGGTATCCTATTTACTCTGTCTCACTTCAGACTCTTATTTAAACATTTAGATTATTTGTGCTCTTATTAAAAACTATATGCACCTGTGAGATGAAGGGGTTATATGTCTACCTTAAACACTCGTGTGCACCACACACAGTCACACTCACATGCATTCAGGATCATAGTACATAGAAGGCCCTCAAGCAGTTTGTTAAATCAATAGAAATCATCGTTCACCATGAGAAACAACTCTGAGGTATGTCATAGTAAATTGAAGATAATAATCTATATGTCGGATGATTAAGTCTAGTCAATTTAAAAGTCCCACCAGTTTAGAAAAACGATCCCAAGCCAACAGGTAGAATTTATTAGAGGAAAAATGTAAATTCCTCGCCTATGCTGAAAGACCCAACTGTAGAAGTGTAAGGTAATAGAAATGTGACATGAAATTCAACAGTGTGATGTAGGTATTAACTCACTTATCCAGAACTTATTAGAGCAGCCTGATATTACTCTAAATGCTTTACATATATTAATTATTTAGTTCTCACAATAACTCTATATAGTAGCTGTTATTAGTCTTCACGTTTTACAAAAGAGGAAACTGAGGCACAGTGGGGATAATTAATTTGTCTAAGGTGGGACATAGACTGCAATGAACTTTTTCCTCTTTCCAAAACTTTGAGCAGTTGAACTGAACTTTAAGGAAAATAAATATTCAAATATCTCACTGGGGAGTAAACTGGCCCCCCCAACAGCAGCAGGCCGGGAGTGAAGCCAACAAGGGGCCCTGTAACGGATTCTGAGAGGGGCCTGGAGCCTGTGGGCTCTCAAAATAGCCTCTTTTAGTGGCAGTTATGTTTCCCTTTCTTACATTGAACTTCCTTTCCCAAATGAATCCCAGCCCTTGGTAAATCTTCAGAAAGCTAGAAGCCTGAACCTCTGCCTTATTCCGTGGGGATTAAGAAAAGAGGATGGGAGGCAGGATCAGCAAAGAGGAGAACAGCCCCCTTTCCCAAATGCTTGATGATGGTGTATCGGCCGCAAATGCCCAGGGGAAAGCCCAGCAGCCTTGGTCGGCAGTGGACACAGCACTGTAATAGTTGGCCCTTGTGGTAGAATCAGAGTGAAAGAGAGAGAGAGAGAGAGGGTCCAAGGAGTCGCTATGGGAAGAAATCACTGAGGGGCTTTATGCCAGAGTGAGGAAGTAGGATTTTATTTGACAGAAATGGGAAGCCGCTGGAAGGAAGGCGATCTCAAAATTCTTTTCAGTTATTAGATTTATCTGACTTCTTGCAAGGGTTCTGTAATGGAAAGAAGTCCATAAAATTCAAAATGCCAGGTAGGCCTAATTGGCCTCTTGTAAATAGAGTGGACTGGGGCAATTCTTTCTTTATAAAACTGCCAGTAGTTTTGCTTTGGGAGAAACTAACTCTGCTCTCCTGACCTCATCTGAGGGGGCTAGCAATCAAAGTATGACCAAACCAAAGCCAACTTTGAATAAACTTGACAACATGCAGGAGAATTTTAGGTGGTTTGATGTGAGATTTGTCCCAGTTTGGTCTTTTTCGTACCCCCTAAGCCAAAGTCAAATAGGGTAGCACAGGTCTCATGTTGAGGTTTTATGTCCCTTTCTAGCAACCTTAATGAATTTAACTGTCACCAGAGTTATAGCGTGAAACCTGAACTCCTCTTTCTAGTTCCAAGGTTCTCTTTAATTTAGTCCATTTATGTCTCATTAAACTTTAATTCCCATTTCTATCATAGACGCATACTCGGTCTCGTTAGATCAGATGCTGCACCATCCCACACAATCTCATTCTTCTCAGCTTGCTCTCACTCGTATTAATTCTACTTTGTTTTAAACATCTCTTCTTTTGTTTATTCTTAAAAGTGCATAAATACGGCATGAATATATTCTCAGTGCAAGCTATTTAAGACATACATTAGTATGGAGAGTAAAATGTGAAAATTCCCACCCATCCTAACCCCAAATTCCACTCCTCACGCTGAAGGTAACTAGTATCAAGAGCTATGAGGGACTCCTTCCATTCTTGTGTTCAGATGTCCACACGCAAATGCACATTCATTCATAGATTTATACATATACATTTTAACTTAAAAGGAATCACATAATACATGTCGTTTTACAACTTGATTTTTCCACTGTCTTGGAGAATTGTCTATGTGAATGCAAAGAGATCTAGCTCATTCCTTTTAGCCACTGCAGAGAATTTTAATGAATGGCTCCGCCATGATATTGTTTTAACCATGCCTCTGCAGCCATGATGGGTTTTTCAAAATGTTTTTTGATGAAAACTATTTGCAATAAATGCACATTTTAAGCAGTTTCTCTGGGATAGATTGCTAGAAGTGGAGTGACTGGATCACAAGGAACTGGCAATTTAAAAATTTGATAGGTGCAAGTAAATTGCTCGCAAAATTGCCTCATCACTTTATACTCCACCAGCTCTTTTCGAGAGTACCTAATTCTCTGCAACATTCCCAACAAGTGATACTATCATTCTACAAGTTTTTTTCTAATTGGTTGGATGAAAACTATTCATCTTGTTTTTACTGGTATTTCCCTGATTATTAGTGAGGCTGGGCATTTTTTCAAGTGTTTATTGGCAATTTGTTTAGTCTCTTGAGTACACAAGAATAATTGAGTGTGATTGCCTGTCATATCCTTTCTCTATTTTCTGTTGGGTTGCTAGCTTTTTATTATTTATTTATAGGCAAGATCTTTGTGTATTCTGGATAGCAAACCCTTTTCTATTATATATACTCTTTAGTCAGGCAGAAGTTCTAATTTTTTATTTATTGAAAATAATAAAAATTTAAAATTTAAAGCTCTCTCCGTCAGACTAAATACTACCTTCTTCAAAAGGTCTCCTGATTTCTCCAACTCACTAATATTCCCTCTTCCCTAAACTCCTCATTTCTAGACTGT